GACGATGTATCAAAAGGTTCCTGGAATTACAATCAAAGGCAAGCTGTGACCAAGCGTTTCGTCGGAGTTCGGAACGGTCTCCCCGCTATGTTCGGTTCTCTTGCGGGCTGAGATCACAGGACGCTCCAGACTGCTCACTCCCGAATCATTCGATCGCAGCAAGTCCAGCTCGCCTTTTCCCACATGGAGCGCTAATCCGAGTTTAACGGGGCAGCTAGCCACCCATTCCCGCTGCGAACGTCGCGCTCGACTCCCCCGTGTCTTCCCCCTCCCATCGTTGCTCTCTCACCCCCTTCATCAACTAGACTTGCGAAACGGGCGCCGAGTGCGTCATGCACGCCCCTCCTCCTTGCCTCCGTGCGAATGTCCTTACCAGCGCACCAACCTTGTCCCAAGAACTCGTTCACTGAGCGCGCCGCGCACGAGGGAGCACTATTTCCCCTGGCTCATTCGTACTGTGGGAGGCGTACCCCTAGCACGCTGCTCCCTGTCACCTTCCGTTGCCCTTCTTTGATAGCCCCTCTCCCCTCTCCTCTGAGCGTTCTTTGAATAGGCACCAGTAGGGCAAGTTCGAACGTGTGCTAAGCTGGGGGCGGCGTACACCTGGCGCGCTCCCCCGTAAACTCAACCCGAATCCCCCTTTCTGTTTTGCTGGTCAGCCCTATATCCCGGTGGTTTCCCTGGTCGCAGGCTTAAGCGGACCGACGTTCCTGGCGGTGCCAGGCCTCCACCTCGTTATACCAGCCGGTGAAACTCATGTGAACACAGTTGTACCGGGCTTAATTCGGCAGGACAAATTTAGGCCTTGCAGAGTAGAGGCAGGAATTACCAGCGGGTCGCCGGCCCTTCAAGTACCAGCCTGAGTCTGTAGTTGTACCAGCACCTTTTCCGAACCAAAGCCCATACTGCCATAGCTGAGCCATCAGACCGGAGTGCACAAAAAATCCCAGATAAGTGTCAAGGCCGACAGCCACCATACCGAAATAATGAATCAATGTCCGTAGCCTGTTCTGACCTAGCAGCTGTACGAGACTAATGCAGAGTACCGTACCGTGCCGCAAAAGTACCACAGCAGTACTGAATAAGTGATTGCAACTTACCTGTCCCGAACAAGTAACCGTATCTGACCAATACAGAATATAGTACCATATCGCAGATCAGTGTACCGTGCCCGTGTCGATCCAGAAAATAAGTACCAGCCTGCAGTACTGCCTCGAAGTCGAACCAATAACTGTGCCACTCCTAACTAGCGGTCATTCCAGTTGTCTCAACAGTGAACCGAAGTAGCCCGTATCGATGCTGCCCCAATGATAGTGCCATACCAGGTCCGAACCAGTAACCGTACCAGAGTAACAGTGTTGTGTCGGTGACCGCCCCATATCAACCATGCCACCGTAAACCGAAAAACAGTCCCACTCACCCAACAACATCGGGTTCATACCAAAGGTAGTAATCAAATCAATCAGGCGAAATCAATCGTGGGTTCGTAATTATCGGGACTCGCACGGATTAACGGCTCATGATAAAATAAATAATTTCCGGCAAAATTTTATCAATAGTAAATTTTGGCAAAAAATAATCAAATAGTAATTATTAATTCGTTTCCCCTTCTTTTATTATTTTTTATTCCTTTGCGCATTATTAATTTCGTTATGGGAATTAATAAAAATTGAGGACAATCTTATTAAGGATAAATTTCGATGAAATTTAATTTAAATCTAGGCTACCAGAGTGGCCCGGGGTCACTTGCCTGACCGGGCCAAAATAATTGAAAAAAATAAAGATAAATAAATATTTTTGAATTTTATTTTTTATTTTAAATTTGGTGAAGAATTTCGATGTGACCCTGAGGCAAACGTTGCTCAGTTTATTTTTTTGCATAACATTGTTTGTTTTCAGAATTTTTTGAGTTTATTTTTTATTTTTATTTTTTTGCTGGGACCTTACCTGAAATTTGCACGGGCTGGCCACCCGGGACCCGAACGGCCCGGCTGGTAGCCTAGATTTAAATAGCAAATATCCCTTTATTTTCCTTCCTTTTATTATTCTTATTTTTTTTTATTTTTTATTTTAATTTGGTTATTAAAATTAGCAAAAATTGACGGTTCATTCCCTCGTCAATTGTCCAGTGTAAAAAGAGCACGTCGAGCCTTATTCCCATACCGCCGCTCCGTAATCAGCCGCTCTGGGGACAGCCTCAGAACGAACAAAAATGGTAGGCACTAGTTGCGTTAGTATCGGTTGTTCATCATGTTAATTTCAAGGGTCAGTCTTTATTGTTGATGGGGGAATTTTAGGGATCATTTTCCGACCCCTAATTTCTCCCAACGATTCAGACGAAAGTCACGGTCAATCCCTCTCTAGGCAGACAATCTAAGGGTTAATCCATCAGATTTCGGGTGACCGACTGACCTTCGGCCGCCCGACAAACAAGCCCGGACCTCTTCTCGACGCCCCCGTCGAGCCCGCACCGCCATAATCAGACGAATCATATAAAATTTAGACTGACCACACGAGTGCGGCTCTTATGTCTGCACTTATCCGTTTGGCGCTTGGGTCTTTCTGGAACTCTAGGACTGAGAGGGTGTTTCTTCCCTCTCTTATGTTGCGGTCGTTTGCGCTTAGATATAAGGATATTTCTCAGTTGTTTTTTTTGGGGGGGTGACAGTGCAACAAATGCGCGACCTCGTCTAAGGCGGACTCGGCGCTTAGGTCTTCGTAGCACAAAAAACCATTTCCTTTTCTTTCCAGAGTCAAGCCCTTCACTTTCCTGGTCTCTACTCTCTTTCTCGTCTTCGAACTCTCCCCTATCTCGAACCGTCTCGACGGTCCTTCATCTGTCACCTTCGCTTTCCCCTTTCCCTTAGGGTTCGATAATGTCCGCGCAGAAGCAGGGGTTTCCCTTGGCCTAAACAACTTCAATCTAGCCCCTGCCACAAGATCCTTCCACTTAGACCCATCTAACTCAGCAATCATATATGCTCCCCAACTGAGTGCGCCGACTTCGCGGTAAGGTCTCATCCATCTGTTTGCCAACTTTCCTGACCATGTCCTTTCTAGCGCTGCATCGTAGAGAAGTACCATATCACCCACAATTATCTTCTCCTTTCTTACCCTGACATCCTTATCTCATCTTTCCTTGCCTTTGCCTCTCTCCACCGCCAATCGATCGGACGTGGTCATGAGATTGTCCTCTAATCCGTAGGCTATCTATCTAGTCATAGCCGCCAGAAGTTCCTCTCGTGACATACTATCCACCCAGTCAACTGTACTCCAACTATCGACATGAAACTCTATGGGCAGAGGGCAGTGCCCCCCGAACCATAGAGTGTAAGGCGGGTATCCTGTGCTGGCTCGAACTGTGACATTATCTGCCCATATCGTGTACCGAAAGTAAATTGGCCAGTCGCTATCTCTACCTCTACACCACTTTGACGATGATGCTATCAACGATTGATGACCTCGTTCTACATGTGTGTTGGATTGAGGATCATAAGCAGTAGCTATTGACACTCTAGCTCCCGCTTTCTTGAACACATTTTGCACCTCGTCCGCTAGGAACTCCGATCCTCTATCCATCACAATTTTACTAACGCACCCGTATCTAGACAGATACTCCAGAACAAAGTTCTTGACCTCTTTGGCCGCCTTTGTTCTGATGGGTTTACCGTCAACGAATCCAGTGAAGTCGTCTCTAACGTTCACGACATAGTTCATGTTGCCTACGCCCTTCGACATTTTAACCAGATCGATATGCACCTTCTTGCCCGGTTGAGTAGGATAGGAGGGATGAACTTGAAGCTGCTCCTTGTATCTCACAAGGGACCTCTTCTGACATTCCTCACAAGTCACAGAGTACTTTTCGACGTCCTTGTACTGACCTTCCCACCAGTGTAGTCTTCAGACCTTCTCATATGTCCCTTTTACTCCTCTACGTCCACCGACCACACCGTCATGTAGTTCCGCCACTATGGACTGCTTCTCCTCCGGGTCACAGATCACTCGCAGAGGCATTCCTGATCCTGTAGGTCTGCGGAACAAATGCCCAGATCTAAAGCAGTACTGTGTTGCCTGTCTCCTAATCTCCAAGTCAGAACTCTCCTCTCCTAACAGACGCAGCCCTATAGTCCGGTACTTTCCTTCATAAAGGTTAACTAGGAATCGATCAGTCCGTCTAGGCTCAGTCATAGTCAGTGCAACGACCACTATTGGTCGCTCCGCCTCGATCGGAATTTGCAAAAGTCCGTCGGCTACCGCATTCTTCGTTCCCGAGATTCTCTCCATAGTATAATCGTAGAGTCGGATCCTGATCAACCATCACGCAATCGTGGGATCTGTCAGACTGAAGTCTTTCTGTAAGACTGACGCCAAAGTCGTAGGACCTACGCGTAGAATGAATCGTCTCCCGTTTATGTAGTGTCTAAAAACGTCTAAACACCATAGAACAACTAACACCTCCTTCTTAAATTAACTATAGTTGCGTTCAGCGGTGTTGAGCGTACGACTCTTGAATCTCGGCGGCCTCTCCTTACCATCGGGGTTCATTTGAGAAAGCAGCCCTTTGACTGAGCACGGCCCAACATCCGTAGACACTATGAACGGTCTGTTGGTTTCGTCCTCGAAAAAAGGCACACCTAGGATTCGTCCCCCTTTTTTAAATTATTCCTTGTGGGTTAATACTGCCAGCTTTTTAGGAGAATCTCAGTAAAACCACTCTGTTTTGCTAAGGAGAGTCCGCAAAGGCTCTGCCTTCTCCGCGTACCGACGTATGAAGATCCGTCAATAACCTACGACTCCTAGGAATTGGCGGACTTCGGTAGCGCTATGCAACGGAGTTGGCCAGTTCAGCAGTTTATCTAACTTTGCCGGGTCCGCTCTGCGCCCTCTCGAATCACATATAAACCTTAAGATCTTAATCGCCGAGACTGCCCACCGGCTCTTCGTCCCACTGACCATCATATTTGCTTCATCTAGTTGTTCCAGGACTGCGTAGATGTCCGTCAGGTGCTGCTCTACGATCTCCTGACACCAGGGGCAACCTACGTCTCATCTTTCAGTACGGATCCTTTTATCGAAAAGTCGTCCAAAAACACTTCAACTTTATCAGGAATGAAGTCTTTTAGAATAGCTACCATAGCTCTCTGGAAGACCGCTACCCCATTGGTCCATCCCATGGGCACAACCATCATCTGCACTAACCTGAGTGGCGTATGCATAGCAGTGAGATGCCTATCTCTAGGATCTAGGGGTATCTCATCATAACCCGAAAATAGATCGCAGACAGAGTAGATAGATCTGCTCACCACTCCTTCCACTAATAGATCGGTGTGCGGTATGGACCCCACATCGTGGATGGTAACAACATTGACCTTATGCAACTCCTGAATCCACAAAATCTTCCCATTCGGCTTCCGTAAGAAGAACCACCTATTCGCGTAGGCGCTATCAGACGGTTCCGCTACATGTGACGCCATCTTCTCCTTTGGAAAGACGATCACTTCTTCCTTCTCTTTTTGTGCGAACTTCCACCCTGCATCATTCCATGGAGTATGCGGAATCGTGTAGATCCTGACAGGTTTAGCATACCTAGGATCGATCTTCCCTCTTTCCGCGTCGCTGAAAGCTATGACCTTATTATAAGTTTTAAGAACTTCCAACACGCGCCCCTTCTCTTGTTCCGTCAAATTTTCATCTCCTATGTCCATTTCCGTTATCCTTTCTTCTGTCAGCCGTTGCGGCTCCTCCCTCTTCCTTTCCTTAACCTTCCTGGCGATCTCCTCCTCAGATATCCCATCTAGTGCGGATCGCTTTCGGGCTACCGCCGCCGGCTTAACTTTCTAAGCTACTGTTTTGTGCTTCTTTGATCGCCCCCCGTAGGGGGCTGCGCCCTTAAAAAAAACACAGAAGTCATACCTCCAAATTCCTCGTCTTCACCCTTAGGGTAGGAGTTTTCTCCCACCAGGACGTGATTACCTAAATCCTCGACTTCCAATATGCGTCTTTTTTCTTCTGTGAGCAATGCCCTATACTTCTTTTCGCAGAATCGCAACGAGCGACTCGTGAGTGTGACCCGCTTGCGGCCGCCACCAGCTGCTAGGGCGGCTCTGTTCCTCGGATCACGAGGCTCGACTGTCTCAATCATAATCCGTCCACCATCCGGACGCTTAATAGAAAGCATCTGGCTCCCGTTCGATCGCTCTATAGTCACCACATGAACATGGCTCAACCACGTCCGCCCTAATAGTAACTCCGAACTGCAGTCCCTGACTGCGAAAACAAGCATCAGCACGCGCAACCCTTCGACCTCAATGGCCGCCTTATGAAAGACTCCGGAGATCTTCTGCTTTCTTCCATCGGCTGTTTCTATCTCAAACAGGTAAGACTTGTCGAGGTCCAACCCTAATCGCACAACGATTTCCTCGTCTATAATGACAGCTTCGCTGCCATTGTCAATCACCCAATGGAGGACTATCTCGTCATTGAGACTGGTCTCCACTGTCTCACTCCCTAAAATGTAAAACTTGTCAGGAGGCACGCCTTCCATTTCATCCAAATACAATGTCGCTGCGCGTTCTGCCTTTGCGCACACCCCCGATATTGCCACAGGGGGTACCTCTGGTTTGGAAGTCATCTGGACTTCGTCTCCCAAAGGAATGCGTGTCTTGCACGTGATTATCTGTAGCTCATCTCCCGCGGGTCTCGAAGCCGCCAAGTACTCAAGTATCGTGCACTGCATCGGTTGCCTGAGCGTTCGTTTGAGAGGCTCCACTGTATCGATATCATCTAAGGAGCTCTTCATGGTAAACTTTCGGGCTCCGCGCTTGCGCAAAAGTATGACTTCTGCTCCTTCTATCCTCTGTCCATCCTTCTCCGCCATCGCATAATCCATGCCAGTCTTCTTAGAGGAAGACCCCCTTGCGGACTTAGTCGCCGCGACCTGTATAGGTGTCGCAGACGCCCCGTCATCAGAAGGCAAACTCATTCGCATACTCTGTATCCTTGCCACTTCTTTACCCTTACTTGGTCGTACACGCCTGACTTCAACGTTCTCCTTCATCGAAGGGAACATCGACACATCGCCGAGGTCATCTGCCCACTTGACGTACTTGCAATCATCAAGTACGATAAGTCATCATCTATAGCCCGCCTGAGGTCAGGACAATCCCTCTTCACGTGATCATCTGCCCTGCAATAGATGCAGGAATTCCTAGGAGTAGGGGGTCTCTCTTCAGTGCTCCTAATAGCCGGGCCTCTCGTAGGCCTAACATCCTGGGTGGACGGTCCCGGGGACTTGGGATAGTTTGGAGACTTTGGGTACCTAGGCAACGCAGGATATCCTCCTCGATCATACTGCCCTTGTGGGTCTTCTCGGCGACCTCCACCTCGCTCTGTCCTCTCGTAACCGCCACGATATCCATCACGACAGTCCCTGTCCGATTCCCATCTGTCGCAAGAGTCGTCTCTGTCCCTCGGGTTAAAGTTGTCTGGGCTCCGTTATCCGTCCATGTTCCCTCCATATCTGGGACTGCGCGGATACTGTTCCAGCCTTCCCCCTCGGCTAAAAGCGTCTACTCCGCGATACCCATCACCTCGGCGGTCTCTGTCAATCTCCTCATCCGTAAGTCGCTAGGCATCGTCGTCCCTCTTCCTTGCGCGATAGTCTGCTAGTGTGCGAGGGTTTCTACCTTCCATGCTCCTCCACCAGTCGGTATCCCTGCGGTCCCATCGCATCGAATAGGGGGACTCAGGTTTGTCCCGATAAGTAGTGGCTTCCGTCTTAGTCTCGATATTGGTAATTTGTCTGGCCAATCCCTTCATCATCTCTCTCATTTCTCTCACCTTGTTTATCACCCGTCTCTGTGTCTCTCGGTCGTTGTGGTCTGTCCCTGTCAGGGTTGTCGAGCCCCGGCCCCGGGGCCCCGGCGGGGGTTTGGGGG